GGACGGGCTGCCCGACGAGTTTCTGGACGAAGCTGCTCGTGGCGATCTGTTCGTGGCGACTGGTCCTGATCTCGGCCCTGATCTTGGTCGTCCTGCTTACGCTGCTGGCGCCGCCGACTCGGGTGGCGGTCCTGACGTTCTGCTTGGAGTTTCTCCCGAGATCGTTCAGTCCGCGGTCGACGTTTCTTGCGCTGCTGGCGTTCTTCCTGCTGGAGATGCTGCCGTACCACCTGACGTGGACCTTCATGCTGCTGCTGTGGATCGAGCTCCTGCCGATGCGACCGCTGCTTGGGGAGACGTGCTGTCTCCTGATCCTGGCGACCGTGCCGCTGCGAATGTTCAGGGCGCTCCTGCGCCGCCTGTGGCTGTCGCTTTCTACTGCTTGAAGGTTCGGGAGGTCGGCGCGAGGATTGCGACGCGTCCTGCATGTCGTTTCTTCCCTCGCTGCTGTCGTGAAGACGGGCGCAAGCACTCACATCTTTCGGATGTGCCCGACAGTGCGACTGCTGATGAGCATGCTTGTCTTCGCCATCGTTTCCAACATGTGCGGACGCTCCGCCACTGTCGGCGACGATGTGGCACGCCCCTGCCGTTGGACACAGTGCTCCTGAAGTGCACGCGATGGAGGATGTTCATGATGAGTTTTATGGTGATGCTGCTCCCCTGCGCGGACCCGCTGCTTGCGTCGCTGGTGGCGAACAGCATCGTCCACCAGTTCTGCTGCCCGCACCTGCTCCTGAAGAGCCTCAGGGTCTCGATTACGCTTCTGCTGCCGAGGGTGCTGAACCCGTCTGGGATCCGGCATGGTGGGATGACGATGACGACGGCGATCCGCTCTATTTGTCGCTACTTGTTGAAGCTGGTGCTGCGCGTATTGGTGCTCCGGGTCGCGAGGCCGATGCTGCTGACTTCGGTGCTGCACCTGGTCGCGATGCCCGTTCAGTCCCTCAGCCCGCTGGTGTCCTGCCATCTGCTGTGCAACGGGTGCGGGATGAAGAAGGTGATGATCTCCGTCATGGGTGCGTGATGCCTGGCGCCCGAACCTTTCGACATTCTGACCTTCTGCCGCCTCGCACCTGCAGCAAGGTTCTCTTCGCTCACGTTGATTTAGTCATCATGATCGGCGAGTTCGACCCGTTCGGCGTCAAGGTCGCCGTCTCCTTCGTCGCCGCGGGGGTTTCCCCCGCCGTCGTCTCTGCTGCTCTTGTGGGAGCGGAGATTGGTACAGACACTGTGAAGTACGTGTTCGATGAGGCGCCCCACGATGTTAACTCGTCCGTGACCGCCGACTTCTGCTCCGACTTCGCCAGCGACGCCGTGCCCCTGACTGCCTCGGAGGACGCGCGGTGGCCCGCTTTGGCGCGGAAGGAGGATTGTGGCCCCGAGGGACGCTCGCTCCTTCTTCTTCTCCTCCTCCTCCTCCTCCTCCGCCCCTTTTCCTCTGGGGCTTGAAGGAAGAGGGTCCCGAAAGGGCACTCCAGGGCCCATTTGTGAGCCAGCAGGGGCCATCAAGGGGGCCCCAAAGTGTCCGCTTCGAGCCCGTTTCGCTACCCCCCATATAGGCCACACCCCATTGCCACCCGCACTTTCCTGCAGCCCATGTCGCCCCCCCCCTTTCAGAGCCCTTTTCGCCACTCCCCATTTGGACCCGCCCCTCGCCCCGCCCATCCTGCACCACAGGGGCAGCTTGGGCGTCGGGGGTCTCCCCTGGTGGAAACAGCCTTCGCCCGCCATCAGGAGGCCACGCGCTTGTTTGTGACATCCGCTGGCCTCCGCCTGGGGCACCCACCTGCGGAGTTACAGCCAAGACTCTGACACAAGGGCCGCGTTCGGCTCCGGAAGGGCCGCGGTCGTCTGGCCAATCTAGGTCGGGAGCCCTATCCGTGGCCGAAGTTCGCCGTTGCCAAACCAAAAAGCCCCTTCGCTACTCATTTGGAATCGTTTGGGCCGATCCAGATTGGGGGCCCCAGCTCTGCCCAGGGGGCCTGGCGTTGCCCGAAAAATTCTTTCGTGATTCGATTTGGCGTTCATTGCGGTCGCAGGATCCGAGCATGTTTTTTGGGTGGAGGGCAAAGGGTGAAATCTGAAATGCCGTTTCGATTGCGTTTCGAGGTTTGAATCTACAAAAGGTGAATCACCAGACGGGTTGGTTGATTTCCGAGGTGCAAAAGCCTATATGGATTTCACCTTGAGCCCTCCACCCTAAGAACATGCTAAGACGATGGGCTGTGGGCCATTCTGGCGTACCCAATGTGCGCCGTTGGCTCTGAAGCCCAACCTTATGTGACGTCCGCCCCGCCATCCGCTCGCCGTGCACCGCTGCGCTTTCCTCTCTTGCACGCCCGGCCGGGGGACAGGACCACAGCTCGCTGTCAGAGAAAAACGGTCTCGTGTGTGGACTTTGCGCCGCTCGGTACGGACCGCACATGTTTGTCCTCCGCCCCCCATCCAACTTACGCTTCGGGCACCGTCCTGCACCCCCGCCGCGCGTGCCTTCGAACAACAATTTTCCTAGGGGCGGCAAGGAGGCAGGAAGGAACGGCTCGACTTCGAAGCACATACGCATCGCCGATGCGGGCCTGATAGCCCACCATGCCCACGACTGACTGTGCGGCTTGCTGATCGAGGGCGCATCGCCGATCTGTCGGCGATGTTTCGCCGATTCCAAGCCAACGTTTCTTTTTCTGATCCAGTACCCCCCGATGTGTCTCACCTCACGGTTTGGTTTCGGGTAGGATGGGATGTGCATGTTGTGCATGTGTTTGCGTTGGCCATGCAAAGAGTTTTTGCGACAGCCCCCAGGGCTGGGGTTTTGATACAAGCATCAGGGCATCGACGGTCTGGATTGAAGTTGTGCTCGCGAGCTGAGTCAGGTTAGAAGCAGCAAGGCGTAACGGATCAGCGCACGACCATGGCAGGCTCCACAATTTTTGTGACGGGCGATCCCGTCTGGGCGGTTGGCTTGTTGTTGGCTGCCGTTTGCAATGACCCGCTGGTGTGATATGACAGTTAACCCGACGACGACGACGACGACGACGACGGCGACGGCGACGGCGACGACGACGGCGACGGCGACGGTGACGGCGATGGCGACGGCGACGGCGACGGCGACTGAGACGACGACGACGACGACGACGACGGCGACGGCGGCGGCGACGGCGACGACTACGACTACGACTCAGACGACGACGACGATGACGGCGACGACGACGCGGCGGCCGCGGCGACGGCGACTGTCGTCGCAAATGGCGGCCGTATGCAGAAGTTGTGCACATCTTTTAGATACCGAGCCGGACGATAATACGAAGGGATGCCTCCATGTAGCAGGCCGCTGCCAGGATCAAACGAATCAATATTAGCAAAAGGAGCAGAACTCACTTGCGAGTGAAACTCTTGCTAATGCTGGACGGTTCCCTAAACTATGAACGCTCTGTCGGCCCATACATACATACTTTTACGTTTACCCATACACACCTCATGTCTCATCATTCTCACTTCTCTTCCTCCTCAGGCTCGTCGTCTTTGTCCTCATCGATGCGCTCCTCCTGGATCCCCCTCCTCCGCTCCATCTCATCGTAGTCTCGGGTTGACCCGGCCCCGAGGACGACACACTGCTATGCAGCAGCTTCTTGCGAGCCCACGCCAAGGACTGGCCGAACTCCATGCAGCCCGCGCGCAAATCCCAGGGGCCATCAGGGACAGGGTGCGACGGTCTTAGGATGTTATCATTAAGTCCTCCTCGTACTGTGTCCACTTTAAGCGTTGACTGCGACGTAAAAGGAATACATGGCCATCCGTGTATGCCCATGCTGATGTCGTTACCTGCGACATAGCGTCGCCCCAGCCTTCCAACTCCAGGCTTTTGGAGGTCATCGAGCCAGGGGCAACTTTGGTGAGGGTCTTGCTGCAAGAGGTTAATCCTAGAGGGCACCAGGCCCCCATATCCTGGCGGATTGATATCAATCATCTGGAACTCGTTTCTCGCCCTCCTCTCGTACAGGTTTCCAAGTCGTGCGACGAGTGGTTGAGTCGGTCACGGATCATTCTAGGCACAGCACATGTTCAGCGTCAGCGTATCTTTCCTGGACGCTCGACGTGCGAGGACTCCCAGTTCACCGATTCCCGCTTCACGCCCCGCGGTGTAATCTCTTACCTTGCTCTGCCCAGTTTGGGTGCAACTCATCTGTCGGCCCCGTTCCCGGAATTGGCCATTGTAGGTATGGTTTACGACGAGCATTGTTCCAAGGATCATTTTGCATTCTTGCCCCTTCGACCCAGCCTTTGAATTTTTCGCTGGTCAACTCTGTTCGACAAGCGTCAACATGGCCTTCCCAGGCCCTTGCATCCTTACCATGCGTTTCGACTGTATGCATTGGCTTACGCCGCACCGCTGACCTCTTGGTATCCTCTTGCATGCCTCTCAGACTCTCGTCAATAGATTTCGCTTTTTGTTGCCAGCCCGTGTCCGTGCCTGGTTCTGGGTCAGAGGAGCCTTCTGGATGCCCCTCCGTGTCTCATGGGATGCCTCCGAGGCTTCTTGGGGGCCTCTTTGTATGCGTTCTGAGCCCCCCCTCCCCTCCATCTCTCCCCCTCTCCTGCCCCCCCCATCCCTCCCCTCCATCCCTCCCCTCCATCCCTCCCTTCCATCCCTCCCCCTTTCCTGCCCCCCCCCACCACCACCAAAACATACATTGCCCCCACCTGCGCGCCCGCGGCAGCGGCGGAGGACAGCGAGTATCGACGACACGCCGCCGTCGGGAGCTCCTCCCCCCCCTCCTCCCCACCTCCTCCTCCTCCTCCTCCTCCTCCTCCTCCTCCTCCTCCTCCTCCTCCTCCCCTTCCTCCTCCTTCTCCTCCACCTCCTCCTCGTCCTCCTCCATTTCCTTTTCCTCCTCTTCCTCCTCCTCCTCCCCCCTCTCCTTCCCCCCCTCTCCTCCCCCTCTCATCCCCGTCCATCCCTCCCCCCCCATCCTCCCACCCCCTCGCCCCCGACTTCGCGCAGAAGCCCCCGGCCGAGGGCAGGGCGGGACGCGGGGCCCGCCCCGGAAGGCCGGGGGTGCCATGGCTCCGGGGCGGCGCGCCGCGGACAGCCGCCGCGCCAGGGCGGCGGCGCCGCTACCGCGGCGCCCGGGGGGGGGGGTCGTTACTCGAGGCGTCACAGATTTCGGTGGTGGCCAAGGGGGGGGGGGCTGATGACCAGGGAGGGGATATCAGGGGGGGGTAGATGGTTATCTCCCCAGATTTCGATATATACGTCCCCGGACCCCCCTGTGCCGAGCACGTGTCCCCGGCCATGCTTTGCACACCCCGCTCTTGGGCGCCCCCCTCTTGGACGCCCCCGAATAGGATGTCGGAGTAGATTGGGTCGGAGGATCGCGCCGCATCGCCGATGCATCGCCAGAGCGGCTTGATGGAGGGCCCGATTGTGAAGGCCTGGCGGCCAGTGCCGCCGACCTAGGAGGAGGACGACGACCACGACGATAACGACAACAACGAGCTGATAACCTTGCCACGGGCTCGAGACATGGGGCGGGCAGTGGCGGGAGGAGGAGGAGAAGGATGAGGAGGAGGAGGAGGAGGAGAGGAGAAGGAGGAGGGGGGGGGGAAAAGGGGAGGTGGGGAGGAGGAGGAGGAGAGGAGGCGGAGGAGGAGGAGGAGGAGACGGAGAAAGGGCAGGGGAGGAGGACAAGGAGAAGGAGGAGGGGGAGAAGGAGGATGAGGAGGAGGAGGAGGAAGGGTTATTTTGAAGGAGGGAATGGAAGAAGAGGGGAGGGGGATGTGAGGAGGAGGAGGAGGAAGAGGAGGAGGAGGAGGAGGAGGAGGAAGAGGAGTAGGAGCAGCAGCAGCAGAAGGAGGAGGAAGATAACGAGGAGGAGTAGAAAGAGGAAGGCGGAGGAAGAGGAGAAGTCGGAGGATGAGGAGGAGCAGGAAGAGAAAGAGGAGGAGGAGGAGGAGGAGGAGGATAATGCGAAAGGGGGAGGAAGAGAAAGAGGAGGAGGAGGAAGAGGAATACTAAGTGGAAGGAAGAGGAGAAGGAGGAGGAGGAGACAGATGAAGGGGGAGGAGGAGGAGAAGGAGGGGAGGAGGAGGAGGAGGAGTTGGAGGAGGAGGAGGAGGAGGAGGATACGAATAATGATAGAAACAATAACCACATCAAGAGGGCTGGCCAGGGCCAGAGCCGGGGCCGAGTCGGGGGGAATCCTGACTGAGCTCCGCGGCGGTGTTTAGCCAGTTGTCGGCCTCAGAGACACATCTACTCTCTCTCACCCCTCCCTCCAGTCCGTCTCTCCCTCCCTCGTCCTGCCGCCCCCGTTTCCGGAACCATTGTTCTTCCTCCGCTGTTCTCCTGATTTGTCCTTCTTCTGCTTTTGCTCCTGCTTCCTCCTTTTCCGCCCGCCCTCCCTGCACCTGCCGCCTCCGCGTCTGCAGTGGCTTTCCGTCCTCCTCTCTGTCCCTGCTGCTGCCGCCTCCCCCCCCTCCTCCTCCCTCCTCCTCTCCTCCTCCTCCTCCTCCTCCTCCTTCTCCTTCTCCTTCTCCTTCTCCTTCTCCTTCTCCTTCTCCTTCTCCTCCCCCCCCTTCCTCTTCCTCCCCCCTTCCTCTTCCTCCTCCTCGTCTCCTGTGCCAGCAGGGGCGGTGCTACCCGCCGCCTCAGGGGGTTCTTGCGCGTAGGGCTGCCCGCTCGATGATCTGCTGCCTCGCGCTGTGCCCTGCCGTCTGTCCCCGCAGGCGCGGGGCCACCCGCGGCAGGCGCGGGGCTGCCCGCCGCCTCTGCGAGCCCCTGCGCGTGGGCTCCTCTGCCAATCCCCCTGGGACCCTCCCCCCCGTGGGACCCTCCCCCCCGGGACCCCCCCCGGGACCCTCCCCCCCGTGGGACCCCCCCCCCCCCCTCCCCCGGGATCCTCCCCGGGACCACGGGCCTGGGACCCCCCCCGGGCCCCCCCTTGCCCTCCCGGGACCCCCCCCCCGCGGCGGGGAGGGGACAACGGGAAGGGGCACAGATCCGACGTAATCATTCCACTTTGTTCGATCTTCCTTAGTTGCTCGACTCCCCTTGCGACGACGACGATTCAAAGGAGGCTGGAGTACTTCAGTTTGGATTGGGCTTGCCTTGCGTCGAAGAGCCTCTCACACACACACACACACCGACTGGGTCGGCGGATTTTCTCCACGCCGGTGTCGCCGATGCATCGCCGACGTCCACACTTCATTGCCGATGCATCGCTGATGCATCGACGACGTATCGGCGATACGGCCGATCCCATCTGCTCAGGCCCCATCTGAGAGGCCTAAAAGTAATGGGGGGACGGTTAACCCTGAGATCCTGAGTAATCCTGTGATCTGGGCGTGTTCGCCCGGTTGTTCGGCGGGCCATGGGGCCATCACAATCGATCCGGCTCGAGCAGTGGCGCAGAAAAATCGGGTCTGTAGGGCGCTTGCCGTGGTTCTTCGCGATGCTGCATTTTTCGCAACGTCGGATCTCTGGGGGAGGATATCGAGGGCTGCAGGACAGGGGCCCCAAAGGGCCCTTGGGCTTGCGAGGCGCGCGAATGATGAACAGTTCTTCGCCCTCCCCTTTTTATCACCCCCCCTCAAGCAACGCCCAAGGTCACTGGTCGCGTCCTCGGTGGGCGAGGTTGGGACGAGGACGTCAGGGAGGGAACCGGCTCCGGGCGGAAACTTCAGGTTCTCACACGTTTCCGGACGTTTTTGGCTCGATTCTTGTCGGTTTTCAAGCCTCGGGGTGCTTGCGGCGGCTGCGCCTCGCCGAGAGCACTCCGAGGGTGTTCGGATTTTCCCCAACCGCTGCGGGAGAGCCGAGGCACGCCCCGACAGCCAGGGGGTGACGTGAGGGAGGGGCAGGCGAGGTAGTGTGGGGAAGCTCCGACCCCCCATTGGCCCATGTCGCGCCGACGGGGGCCTGGTGGCTCGCCCCGCCCAGGACCCCGCGGTGTCGCTGTCGGGGACACTTCGCCGATCTTAGATCGGCGGCATGCCCCCGACAGCGAAACCGATAGACCAGTCAGAGGTCAGCGGTGATGCATCGCGGATACGTCTCTGAGATGCATCGCTGGTAGATCATCTATCGGCGACGCGTCGCTTCGATGGTTCTTCCCTCAGCCGGTCCCCACGTTAAGAGGAGGGAGAGGGAGGCCGTCTCGGTCTGCTCCCGTCTCCTTCCATCCCTCCCTCCTCCATCTCTCTCTTTCCTTCTCCTCCTCCCCTCCCTTTTCCTCCCCTCCCTCCCTCGGCCCTCCCGTCTCCTCCCATTCTCCTCCTCCTCCTCCTCCCCTCCCCTGCCTCCTCCTCTCCCACCTCGCTGCCTTCCCCACCTCCTCCCCCCCCTCATCCCTGGCTCCCTCAGTCCTCGCTCCCTCACTGTCTCTCCCTCCTCCCTCCCTCCTCCTTCCCAGCCTCGCTGCCTCCCTCCCTCGCGGCTGCTGGAGCGGGTGCCGCAGGCAGCCCCCGCCCTGTCCACAAATCACGGCGGACGTTTTTGTCAGGCGTCTTCTGCCTCGGGGGGCCGGTCTCGGGAGGAGTGGGCCCTGGGAAAGTGATTGGGATGTTTAATGACCCACGTGTTGACAAACATGATGACGTCGGATGTCTGGGGATCGATATAAAATTTGCCTGGAGAGTACCGCGACACATGGCTGCGACAGTCCACTGAGCAAAAGAAAGGGTCCGCGTGAGGGTCCCAAACTCAAGCGCAGGAAACAGCGCACACATGTGACCCCCCAAATCCGAAGCTGTTTTTTTTTTCTCTCCACCACCGCTTGGGGATCGATCTTCCAGGATTTGGGCAGGCGGTGGACATGGATACATCTGGGCCCAAGGGGGTCCCAAAACATCTGTATCAACCGCCCCCAGGCTACGAACCTGATTGATCGCACCGTCCTCCCTGGTCATCCCCTTCATCCCCTCGTGGACGACCTGCTGGGCTTGCACCGCGTCCACGCCACACACGAAAACAAACTCGCTCGAGGCGGAGCGCATGTCGAGGATCGAGGGTCGAGGATCGAGGTCCTAAGTTGGAGGGTTTAGGTTTGGGGGCGTTTGTCAGCAGCGCGCCCGGGGCAGAAGCCGCCTACGGCTTCAGATATGGCTCAAGAAGCTTCAGGGAAGGCGGGAGGGACTGAGAAGCCCCACCGCCTTCTGAGAAGTCCGGCCCCCTCCGTGCCTTCCCCTCCAGGCGCGCCGCCGATTCTGGGTCTGCAGGCTGCCGGGGACCTTTGCAGGGGGGCCCTCCGAGGACTTCTGGGTCGGTCGCCGCGGCGTGGCCCCGCGGCGCGCTTGGGGGGGCGTCGCTCGGGTGCTGCCACCGTCGCGGCGCCAGGAGGGTGGGGGGGGTCCTCGTCGTCGCCCTCATGCTGCCCCAGAGTTCCCCACAGCGCCCCCTCACAGGACCCAAGTTCTTTCGTCTCGCAACTCGGAGCATTGATACGGGGAGCGCGAGCTCGTGCCAACGCGGGCCAGGAAGTCACTCCTGGACTACTGGTCCCGCAGACTTGCTCACCGTCCTCCCACTTCTTCAATCGTCGACCTTCCCAGGCGCGTGCTCCCGCGAGGGGGCGGGAAGGGGACGATCGAGGAACGAGTGTCGAGGATCGTTCGAGTTTGCTTCTTCTGTCGTAGCTGCCTCCTGGGGTGCTCGATTATGCATCCGGGGGGGCGTTCCGTGGTCACGGCAAGGTCCGCCTTTTGAAATTCTGATCAGAACGAACTCTCCCAGAGCAGCAAGCATACCCAGTCGAAAGCCACCCACGCTCGCCTCCTCCGCCTTGCCAGGACGACCGCCACGGGTCCCCCAGCGAGCGAGCCGACGCCGCTGTCGCCGCCGCCGCTGTCGCCGCCGCCTCAGACACCGCTGGCGCTGTCGTCGTAGTCGTCGCCCACGTCGTCGTCGTCGTCGTCGCCGCCGTCGGCGACGACGTCGTCGTTGCCGCCGCCGTCGTCGTCTTCGTCGTCGGTGGCATCGTCGTCGTCCCCGTCCTCGTCGTCGTCGTCCCCTTCGTCGCTGCCGTCGTCGTTGTCGTCGTCGTCGTCGTCGTCGTCGTCGTGGTCGTCGTCGTCGACGGTGGCGTCAGCGCCGTCGCCGCCGCCGTCGTCGTAGTCCCCTTCGGCGCCGTCGTCGTCGTCGTCCTTGGCGGCGGCCACGCCGTCGTCGTCGTCGTCGTCGTCGTCGTCGTCGTCGTCGTCTTCGTCGTCCTCCGTCGTCGGCAGCGTCGTCGTGACCATTCGTGTACGCAGCAAGGGCGCCTCTGCACCCAGAGCGGGCGCGCGGGGGGATGCGCAGGCGCCCGTGGCCGCGGCGGATGCGGCGCGCGCTGGCCGTCGCCGCTTCAGGCGGGGGGGGGGGGACGTGGGCACGAGACGGACCCACTCGGCGGCGAGCGGGGGGGGGGAAGTTCGTCGGCGAGCGACGGAAGCCCCCCGGCCTTCTGAGAAGTTTGCTAAGCCTTCCCCGAAGACAGAAAGAGTTTATCAGAAGGCGCGAGGGTTTCCGAGAAGTCCCGCCGCCTTCTGAAAAAGCCTTCTCCTTTTCGCTCGCTCGCCGCCGTGAAGTGAGAGGGGGCAGGCCTTTTCAGCAGGGGCAACGATACAGGAGGGGAATTGGCACGATTAGGGGGGGATACATCGACCCCCCATCGCCCACTGATCGCCAGTAGGAGCCTGATAGCCCCAGCCTGCCCAGGAAGGTTCGGATTCACTGTCGGAGTCTATCGCCGATCTATCGGCGATGCATAGCCGAGTCCAGGTCGATGTGGCCTCCCCTATTCCTTTCCCCCCTATCGTTGCCCCTCATCTCAGAAGGGGGCTGGGCTTTTCAGAAGCCCGCGCACTTTCGGAGAAGCCGCCTCTGCCCCAGGAGGCCCGAAGCCTTCCGAGCCCTCTGGGAAGGCCCTCCCCCTCTCGCTTACCCCCAGGCTTGCCACCGACCGACATCGTGATTTGCACGCCGTCGACCCCCGGAGGTGCGCCCACGAAATCCATTTTTGCGTGTGTCCGAGAGGGAGAGGGAGAGGAGTGGGAAGGCCAAGGAGACGAAAGACGGACGACATGAAATGAACGATCGACGCGAAAATAGGAAACCATACGCATTATTCAACATCGGCGGGGCTTCCTTGTCGCACTACTCGGCCGTTTTCGGGGCATCTTAGGCCGCCTTGAGGCAATCTCGTGGCGTCATTCAGCCACGCGCAGAGGGGAGTAGGGGGAGGGTGGAAGGCATCTTGGAAGCACTCCTGCTTCTTAGACGGCCACTCCTTATCTATAGATGTGGCCAGCGCTTTCAGAGAAGCAGCCTCATTCTAAGAAGCCTTCCCCTCCTCCCCCTGCCCCCCTTATGCGCGCCAACAAGTCATGGGGCCATAGTTTGCCGTCGTGGAGACGTCTCGGTGGCCTGCCTCGTCCACTCTGGAAGTTCGGAAGCGAGGCTGTATGAAGCTGTCTTTGCAGGGTTCGTGGCCACGGGGGCGCGGATATCGTGGCCTCGTGAGCGCGGATGTGTGTTGCTTTACCCATCGGTCGTTGAAAGTAGGTATGGTTGGATTCACAGGTCCCCACTCTATGTTAGGCGCCTTCCTACTTCATTGATCGAGTGGCTTCACCTTTTCCGTCCTCTTTACGTAGGGCGCGGGCGGACACCCAATCTCTTTGCACCGCCTTCCTACTTCATGTTTCTACCTACCTCTTCCCACGATGCGGAATGCTTGCTCACGAGAGATCGAGTTCTCGAGAGTGCGGCTCCTTTTTTATGCTAGCGATCGTGGCCTCGTCATCGTGCGTCCATTGGCACAATGGTTCGGAGGCTTCTGCCACGTGGTGTTCTCGTGGCTTCGGGAGCGCGGATCCATGCTTTGCGTGAGTTCGTGGCCTCGTGAATTCGGTTTCATGGTTTTGTTGCAAGGGTTCGTGATTTTCGCGATGCACGCGGAGTTTCGCGAGCATGCAGGGAGGGGCTGAGTTAGAAGGTTTACAGGAAGCCTATCAGACAGAATTTGACATCCTACCAGGGAGCACGGTGGCGTTTTCGCCACCGTGCCAGGGGGCATCGCCATCGTGCACAAGCTCAGCGCCCTAGTCACCATTCCAGAATTTCAGACTGAGAAGGGGGAGGAGGAGGATGAGGAGGAGGAGGAGGAGGACGACGACGACGAGAAGATGAAGGACGAGGAGGACGAGGAGCTAGAGGAAGAGGGGGAGGAGGATGAGGAGCTAGAGGAAGACGCGGGTGAGGAGGAGGACGACGAGGAGGAGGAGGAGGAGGAGGACGAGGAGCTAGAGGAAGAGAAGGGGGAGGAGGAGGAGGACGAGAAGAGGAAGGAACAGCAGGAGGAAGAGGATTATATAGGCGCCCCTGCCCTGCCATCCCACCGTCATTCCTGCACTCCCGCCCGCCCCCTTGGCCATCCCTCTCCCCTTACCTCCTGCCTGCGCCACTCCTCGCCTCTCTTCCCTCGCTTCCTCTTGCCGCGTCACCCCCAGCTCTCCAGACATTTGCGGTGTTGATAATTTCAACCCGCGGCCCCCAGAGCTCTCGTCTCCTTCCCTGCGCACCAGCTCTACATCCTGAGTTGTTTTGTTGACGGTCCCGGGGCCCGAGGGAGACCCCTACATAATGCAGATGGCGAACAAGCGCAGTCTTTTCTAGACGTTGGAGATCGGGGTAGTCAGCCCAAGATGCTTGCACCCCCCCCTAGGCAGAGCTCAGCCAACTAAGCCGTTCGAGGATCGTGACCGACCGACCGACCTCCTCCTCCTCCCTTTGTCCCGGCCGTCTCTCCCTCCATTACGCATCACCCATCCTCCTCCTCAATTTTATTTTGCCTCCACGCGCTTCCGCGCACACAGGAGTTCGCACAGGGGAGGACCGATGGTCGCCTGTATCGCGCGCCCTCTCATCTGAGCAGCAACGCAGGGCGCAGCTGAGGAGGAGGGTAGGAGGAGGAGGAGGAGGAGGAGGAGAAGGAGGAGGAGGAGGAGGATCAGGAGGAGGCCAATGAAGACGAGGATGGGGGGACAATGAGGACGAGTAGGATGCCGAGGTGGAGGAGGAGGAGGAGGAAGAGGAAGAGGAGCAGGAAGAGGAGCAGGAGGAGCAGGAGCATGAGCAGGAGCAGGAGCAGATCCTCGAGCCGCCCCCTGCCCCGCGCCTGCCCCTCGCCATGGTCCCGGACCCACGGCCCTCGCCATGGCTCCGGACCCAGGGCGCCGGATACGCAGATGTAGGGGGGCACCCCGCGCGCTGGATCGTGGCCGTGTCGATGCCGCTCTTAATGTCGCTGACCGCCCTGGTTGTGGCCGTCGGCGCCCATGGAGATCTGGTCGTCGGGCGCGCCGGCGGGTTGGGGCCAGCGCGGGGGGCTCGGACACGGCGCGCCATCGCGGAGCCGCATGGCTGACCCAGAGGCGCTGCGTTTGACCCCTAGGGCGCTCCATCCCGGAGTAGACCCGGGCAGAAGCCCACAAAACAAATAAGATGGGAATCCCCCAGTCGCCGACTTTCCCCCCCTTGTCGCCACGGTTGGGTCCACCAGCGAGGGCGATGAGGCGCAGCGCACGGCGTATCCCATCAAGCAAGACGTCGAGATGCATTGCGATGGCAAAGAGAAGATATGGCACAACACGTTCTACGCCGAGTCCCGCGCGGGACCGGAGAAGCTTCCCGCCCACCTCGACACCGATCTGGGTGATCCGTGCGTGATGCCAGAGGGCCTGAGGATCTTTTGGCACGCCCGCCGACGCGGAGGAAGTGGCCTCCTCCTCATCGTCCTCACCTTTCTTGCAGCCGTTTGGGGATTCGCAGGCACGGCAGGCATTCTGCATTTGGACGAGTTGCCGGGCGTCGCGCTCGTCGTGGGCGATTTGATGTGGGCGCTTGCCTTGGGGGTTCTGGGCTTCGTCGAGGGGCTGATGGCCTCGAGCAGCAACGCCATGATGATGTACATCACCATCGGTCGCCTGGGAAGTCCTTCGATTGGAGCCTGTTCTTCATCTACGGCCTTGCGATTGCCTACCTCGGGGTTGGCCTGGCCGCGGCCGCCTCGATAGGGGCCATCGCGGGCGCAGTATCTGGCGCCCCGGACTCATTCCCAGCAGCGGCTGCCCTGCCAGCCGCCCCAGCCGCATAGGCCGCCGGTTGGAGCGCTCAGAACTTCGACTCGACGCTCGGCTACCCTGGCGAAAAGGCCCAGGAGCAGGAGCAGGGAGAGGGCAGGAGGAGGAGGAGGAGGAGGGATTGACGACATAGAGGTCGATCGGCCCGCCCGCTGTCGCCGCTGGGTTGTATCCGTCCAGCCGCGCGGCGATGGTCGGCCTAATGGTGTCGAATGCCACGCGACGCTGGAGGGGGGCACGGCCAGGGCAGCCAAAGCAGCTGAGCGTGAGCGTCGGAGATATTACCGGCACTGGGAGTGCGCAGTGGAGTGCGTGCGCCTTGGTGACCAAGTTGACGCTGACGGGGACCCCGAAGTCACCCAGCAGACGGCGGGCACGATGAGGTTACGCGCCGCCCAGGAGATCGGCCACCCAGCAGCGGCAGAAGGCGGCGCCGCGGTTGGAAGAGATGGATGATATGGAGGAGGAGGTGGAGGAGGAAGAGGAAGTGGAGGTAAGGGCGTTGGCAACGCAGCTGGACAAGCTGCTGCTGGAGGAACCGCCTCAGGACGAGATGCTGTCCGTGGAGCTGGAGAAGAGGATGACGGGGGCGGGGGGGGGGGGGGGGGGTGGCAGAGGCGGCCGGGCCAGCGCCTCACGCATCGCCGTCGCCGGCCATTCTGTCGACAGCGTGGCCGTGCCCAGATTTGGCCTGGTGGGATTCCCTGGACGTGCAGTCCCGGCTCGAAAGGCCAGTGGTCTGCGTGCTGCGAGCCCCCGAGCGCTTGCAGGCGCAGCACAGGGCAGCTAAGCTCGTGCTTTTCGAAGCGTCGGGCGCGGCCCCCGCGCATGCGGAACAGCCGAGGGCCTGGAAGGCCCTCCTCCTCGTCGATCGCCTGTTGATCTGGAAAGGCTTTCGGCGCGGCGGCGCTGCCAGAGGAGGGAAGCGAGGAATGCCAATCAGCGCTCTGTAACGAGCGGTTGGCTCTGTTCTGGCCGGGACAGCGGGGCGCTTTGGACGCGGCGCTTCGAGGTGTCATTTGCCCTGCTCGCCGAGCCCGCCAGGGGGTGGCGATTGGTCGAGGACGGAGCATGGGAGAAACTATTAGCAGGCCTTTGCGGCGGCGCCCCGCTGGTGGACCCCAAGAACGCCGAGGGTGACCTCAGGAACCTCCTCCTCGCAGAGCGCCCCTGGGTGTCGAGGCCGCTCGTCGCTGCCACTTTCGACGTTTCTGCAAGGACTTGCA